AAAACGTCACCGCACTAAATAAGCTACCCCAAACGAGCCATTAGTAACATTTCATGACAAATTTTTAAACCAGCAAATTGAAATCACACATTTATTTTGGGGGTTAAATCTCAGTTTTCTGACAGCCACCGTAGATATCATGTTTGGTGAGAAAATGGTGAGAAAACGTTGCTTTTAGCTGCAGCTTTTTGATAACATTGACAAAACGGTACCTTGTCAAACATAAAAAAATGTGATGCAGTACCAAACCGTCATCGCACCGCCGCCCCCAAACACACCCTACATATGCAGTTCTCTTCATGAGAACATTGATGAAATTGCAAGATGAAAGCTGGTATTGGATGCTGCTGTTCATGAGTCAAATAGGAGAGAATGAATAGGCCATTGTCATATACTTTCAGACATGAGAGATCACTGCTGCAGGCATTTGTAATCTTCCATTTTTTACAGCTTAGCTAACAGTTACTCACATCAATAGATTAGAATAGCTTCAAAAGCTTTCAATTGATCCATCATATGAGTTTCTTTGGAATAACCATCATAAATGGAATTATTGGTGCTCATCACAGTCCATGACTTTGATGATTGTAGAATTGTATGTTTCCATCAAATTTTCATGAGTTTGATTAGGACAAATTAAGCATTTGGTATTAATTTAGGTTGAGAATAATTAGTTTGTTTAGTTTGAAGTTATCTGAAAATTTTTCATTAAAATTAGATTGTTTACTCTGGAATATGATGTATTTTTTATATTAATTATAAGGAATGGACATTAACTTATCATTCATAAGAGCTTTAAAAATAAGAAAAATGCATACAAATATTGGGGAAATTTGCATGTATACCATGCAAGTCTTATGTATTTACATATTTCGCATCTAAACATTTATATTTACATATATTAGTATTTTGGTGCTTCGATTTTTTGCACTAAAATGTGTATTTTCCGATTAAATAATTTTTTAAAAATTATGGATTATTTTTATAAGAAAATTATTTTTGAGTGATTTTGAGTAAAATATTTTTATGAAAATAATGATAATTTTTTTATAAAATAAATTCTCACATTTGTTTATTAAGAGAAGATTATCTATTTTTTAATACTTTATATGGCATATTTTAAGAATAATAATAATTTATTAAATAAAATACTATTATTATTAAAAAATTAATTATTATTAATATTCATAATATTATCTTATTTAATAAATAATATTTTAATTTTTTATATAAAAACTATTTTTTTGTCAACTAAAAATGATATATAATTGATAATTTTTTAAGAAAAAAATTATTTAAAGTTTACTTACCATAAAATTGATTAATCCATTTGATAAATGAATATATGACATTATAAGCACATGAACCTTCTCTATGTATTTACATATTTAAAACATAAGCTTTATTTTTTATATTCACACAACCCAAACCTTTCATATTAAATAAAAAGTACCACCATGGTAACCTTTAAAAAGTAATACTTTCTTATGCGTAGGTAAGGTGGCATGCATGTAAAAGTTAAAGTTCATCTGTTAGATATGTAAATACATAAGAATTAAATAGGATTTATATAAATTTTTCTTATAAATATACTGGAAAATCTTGAACAACATTTAGTCCCACATCTCAATGGACTTATGCAATATTGTATGTTCAATGAGGAAGTGTAGGGA